CAAGCGACATATTTGACCTGTTTTTCCACTTCGATCTCCATATAATCGAAAAAGTTTTCTACCGACCGCTCCCAATCTAAATAGTCTTCAATGTGTAATCTGCCGTCAAAGAAAGGGATGTCGAGCTTCACTCGAAACTCGCCCTGATGTCGCTCCCGCCCCGCATAACGTCGCGGACGACGTTCGGCCAGGTCTGCTTCGGAGTCGGAAAATCCTTCCGGGGCAAAGCTGTTGTGCTCCTCCTCTGAATCTGAAAGCTCCGGAAGCAGTGCAACACGTCTCCTCATTCGAATCGGCAATCCTCTGTTTCCTTCGGTTGGTGTGATAGTAGCCGGAGCAAGTCGTCCCGCACGGAACGGTCCTTCCCCAGCCCGAACAATGGGTGGTTCACGGCGTAATGCCGCTGTTAGACGATCCACCGCCGCCGCGATGTCATCCAACCGTTTCTCAACTCCAGCGTGTGCAGCCCAAAGTGCCTCCAAACTTCGGTTCTCCTCGCTCGTCACACGCTTGCTGGACTCTGCCATCTCTCCAAGCCGCTGGCTCTGATACCAAGATGATGTGGTATTCCACGGAAGAAGCAGGTTCACACAAGTAAAACACCAAGAAGGCAAGAAATCGGTAATGGCGATGGCCAAAAACTGTATATCATCAACTACTTTGCTCTTCTTCTCCAAGAGAAGAAATACAGGAAAAGCCATTGCTAAAAATGGCAGCAAACCAAAATGCCAGCACATGGCAGCAAACAGATGCCAAACTAAGTAAAAAGGAAGAGAGTGGAGCAGCCACTCTAACGGTTTCTAATAGTTAGACAAAAGTAAAATATTTAATTTAAATAAAGCCACTAATTAATAACTAAAGCAAAGTAACGGTCTAAGGATATGGCTTGATGCACCGCATCACAATTATCCCTTGAATATATTCCTTCAGATTTCTTCATAGTGTGAACTCCTTGTTTGCTTTGTTGAAAGAAAGTTTTTATGTTTTTTCTTCCCACTTTTCCGTTCTTTTAACAAAATATCAAATATCATTCAATGTTTAAGGAAGATGATTGATGGGTAGAAGTCCCTGATTGGGTCAAGTAAAAATTACCTCCATGAAGTAATCACCTTTTCAAATTACTCCTTACAAACTAAATAAATATATTGGTACTCTATTTTTGTTTCAGAACATGACAAAAGCTATGTGCGAGAAGGTCAGTATGGCATAGTATGACCATGAAAATTTAGCATAATTATGTGAATTATGGTAAAAGGTTCCTGATTTCAAACAATGGAGCATGAATGTCACTGAATCTTCAGACTCCGCAAAATTTGACAAGAATCAGACATTCAAACCAATTTGGTGCGGGAAGTGTGTTGGGAAATACATTAATCTAGTGGAGGAAAGTAAAATTATGATTCTCTTGTTGGTCTCAATAAAGATCTTGGTGAGGTGCGTGGAACTTAGGATTTAACCATTACCTAAAATTGAAAATAATTGTTTGTTGAAGTTTGTCAATAGGAAAGTAGATGAAGAGATATGCTCAGACACGCTAAGAGCTCTCTCCAAACTGAGAGATCAACTCGTGCTGCCCAAAATCTAGAGCAAATTAAAAGCCAATCATCTCAATGTCAATGTACAAAAATAGGCAATTTGTGGGGTAATATCTGTAAAAAAAAAATCATATAAGAGAGACTTGTTGGAAACTACATGATAGACCCACTCATAGTGACTGATCAACTCTTGGTGGAAACAACTCCCAGATAGTCGTGCTTATGAAGCTAAATTCGTGGGTATGAATTTGAAAACAAGGGACAACCTGGGAGACATTCCTAAATAAAGTGCAACTTAATTTCCTCTACTTTTTCATGAGAAATTGACTATCACTTCCGTAATAACATAAAAAGATTGTTTTCTACCAGTTCCAACTTGTACAAGTGAAGGACATAAATCTTGTACCGTTGACTCAAGATCTTCATATCATATGACAGGTCGTGCTCACTTATTCTCTTACACTCCCACGTATTGCTATCTTAAAGTTAAGCCGATATTGGAGGTTGAATTGTTAAAATTAAGTCTAAGCAAAATCTCTATAGATTGTAGATTTGCTTTCTCACAAGATTATTGTGAATTTTAAGACAAGAACTCAAGGAAGAGGATTAGCTATGCTGGAGAGTTTGGAGGACTATGGTCCTTTAAGGAAGAACCCAAGAGAGTAAATGATGTGAAACTAGCAGGAATTGCACGGAAATATTAAAAGGATTGCGATGATTGCTACTTTAAGAGTAATGTTCCATAAGATAAGATTTAAAGAACTTTCAATTGTTAATTTTATTGTAGTAAGCAGTTACAAGATTAGAAGTTTAGGACAAGTTAAGATAATTCGGAAATTATCATAGTAACAACAAGTATGCCGTAATAAAAATTCCATGCTTAATGTTTAGAGAGTTCACCATGAGTTACCGTTCTCACTCACACTCAAAGTACGGCTTAGCGGAGAGAGGTTTTCAGCACACACCCAACGATGCCACTAGGAAGGTCGCAATGCCAATGGCCTTGATCCAAGAAAAGGTCGTCGGCGGTGGAGGGGTGGACTGTCCGGTGAGTATCCACGATCCGGCGGGACTGTGTTCTTCAATGGAAGGCACGAGCGTGAAGAGGATGTGGTTGATATACCCGTCGACGGTCTCGTCAACGTCCAAATTCACATCAAAGAATGGTGATCCAAGGAGATCCGTTCTTCCTTGATTATCATAGACGAAACCGTGGTCGATTTCGGGATCGGCCATCCATGGATGCGGAGGACTCCTCTCTTAAACCCTTTGGGCCGGAGGCTTGTTGAAGCAAGAAGGAGAAGAGGGAGGGCCGGCGGTAGGCTAGGGTTGGAGTGGGAGGGGGAGGCTAGAGTGAGGAGTTGGGAGAGGTTTAATTTCAAAATCTGAAATTATGTTCAGATTTTTAATTAGATTAGGCTAGGAGAATTTCAAATTTTGAAATTTGAAATAAATGGAGGTTGGGAGGGAATTCTGGAAGTGATTTAATTAATTGGATCCTTAATTGGATTCAAATTAATGGAATTGGAGAGAGAAAGGGTGGCCAGCCCTATAGTGAGTGATTTGGGGAGATTTAATTACTTGGATTGTGGGCCCAAGTAATTAAATAAATTAAATGGGAAATCTGAAATTAATTTCAGATTTGAGAGGATTTAGGGGTTGCCTAATTAGGGTAGGAAATTTAGGAAAGAATTTAATCCAAATCAATTTGAATTTGAATTTTAAAAATCCCTCCAAATTTGGCTACCTAAATTAGGAAAGTAATCAATTCAATTAATGGGGAGTAATGGAAGGTGGTGTGTGGCCAGCAGTATGGTGATGAGGGGGAGGTGAGGTGGTGGAGCTAGGGTGGAGGCCAAGAGTGGCGGTGGGAGAGACTAAGGTGGGTGGCGGTTTGGGATGGTGGTTGGGTAGGGATTGGGGGGAAAAGGAGGGAGGAACGGCGGTGACAGCATAGAGCCGGCAGTATAGGGGAGAAAGAAGGGGTTCGAGGGGAAAAGAGAGGGGAGCAAGGGTGGAGCCGCGGGCCTCGGACACTTCCAAAGGCTGACGGGTATTGCAATCGCCTCACCTAAGCCTTCATCTTTTCTCAAGCACTCAACATTGCAGGAGACGAAGAGAATTCAGAATTTTCATTCATCAAAACATCCATAATACATGAATGGCCATATATATAGGCCTCACAATGACAAAAGAAAAATAGACTAGAATGCCCCTTGGGCTACAATAGCAGCTAACTACCAATTGGGGTAAAAACGGAAAAAACTAAAAATAAAATAAATAATACATAAAATGCATCAAAAGTAAAGACTCTCCATCATGACCATCGATCTCCTGTGTCGCCTCTGAAAAACACATTGGAACCTCTTGTCGATGACCCCATCAGTAAACAAGCCCTTATTATGTATGGTTAATCATTGCTCTTATAAAAAAAGATTAAATATTGTTGTGGCATTTTAGGTTAGGTCATCTTAGTTTTGCATATGTCAAGAATTTATTTTCTTATTTGAAAATAAAGTTGTTTTTGAATGTGAGGGTTGTCAACTTGCTAAGCATCAAAGAACTTTTTTAAGCATGAAGCTTCTAAAGGTAGCAGATTCTTCTCTCTAATACACAATGATATTTTGGGTACTTCAATATCCTATATCTCTACTGCAAACATTGATTCATTACTTTCATGATGATTATATTCATTTGTGTTGGCTTAACGTATTGAAAGGCAATTCTGATGCTGAATAAGCTTTCAAAAGCTTCCACTTTGGTTGAAATTCAATGCATTATTAACATCCAAATCTTGCTTTTTGATAGAGGCACAAAGTACATCAGCAAAATTTTAGCAAGTTTCGTAAATCAAAATGATATTGATAATCAAATTTCTTGTTCCAACACTCCACTAAAATCTTAATAAGTTAAAATATACCTAAACCTAAGATTTTGTGTTTCTTCCTTTTAAAACTTTGTTGTTGAGATTCAGAGTTTGGTATTGCCATCTATTTTAATTTTGGTTAGAAATCCTAAGAAATTTAAAAGTATTGATATTCAGCCTAAACCTTGCATTTTACTGCATCTTTTACTACAAATTATTCTCAGATTTCATTTTAAATCTTTATAGTTGAGATTCTGAATAAGTTCTGCCATCTCTTTATAATTTGTTTAGAATTTTTAGGATAGATAATGTTTATTGAGCATCTCTTTCTTTAAGTATTGCTTTACTTAATTTCAATTATAATTTATTTTTTTGTGACTAGCAGACTTGACTACTTTTTTTAATTTTTCAATAAAATTATTGTGGTTATCTTTAATTGTTTTAGAGTAGCTTTTGAATAATCATATGCATGTTAATATTTTTAGTTGTTTTTCGAAACATTATGCATTAATTTTATTTGTGGACTATAATTTAGTTTAATAATATATAGCTCTCATTTCAATGAGTTGCATTGTTTTCTACCCTTTTCTCTTTGATAGGGGAGGCATAAGTTCTGGTCGAGGATTTACGGGGGGAAATGGTACTGTTACTGGAAAGGATTGCCCCAGTGGACTTTATGGAACGTTTTGCAAGGTTACTTTATCATTTTTAACTTTAATTACTGCTGAAACATGTCTGATTTAATGTTTTTATATCATGCCATATTGCTAAGAATCTGGCAACTCCATGGAAGTCTTGATGAATTCTTGTCTTGGCTAAGAATAATTGAATAGACGGGCTAAATGAATTATTTTGCGGCCTATATTTTGTACAAATGTTATTTATGATCTTAACTAAACATCTTATAGAATTTAGGAGAGAGTGCTTCCTATTGTGAAAGCAAATAATAGGGCATAACCATTTTATTTCTTACAGTTTGTAGTAGCATAGGCAAAACGGGAAATGAACCCATTGTCAATGTTTAATATTTAAACAAAGTTGTTTGCTTTTGTGATTTTGATCTTTAAATTTAACTAGTACATTAAATTTCCTTACAAAGGTTGTATGCACGCACTTGTTTTCTACTTTTTGAATGAAGAATGCTCGTAAAATATTTACTTTAAACTGTTGCTTGGAGATCTTCAGATGTTTTGCCTGTGTTTGTTAAAATGTAAATAATATACAATTTGAATTATGGATTGAGCCTAATGATGGGAAATTTATGGTTGCTCTTGTTGTAATTTTGAGAGCTAGAGGGACTCTTTTAAATTAATGCAAAAACTGTATTGCTTACACTTCAAGAACACTCTTTAATTTCTCTCCTATGTCTGTTTGTATTATGGATTTTTCATACCTAGATGTCTTGTCATTGCTTGACTTGAATGGATGAATGATGGATGCATTAATTACACATTTGTCATCCATTGACTTAGTTATAAATATTAAAATGCTGATTTCCTTATCATTCCTTTTTATAATAAATGAATTTTTTATTTTAGTTCTTGGTAATATGCTGTGGCAGATCTTTTTTTGCCAAATCCCTTTGTACACAGTTGGTTTTGACTAATAAGTGGCATGTTTCCAAAAAGTTCACAAATTTTTGCCGTATGAGCGTGGTGCAACTTGTTTTTATAACTAAAACTAGTACTTGTTTATTCTGTAATTTTAGTTGCATTTATTATTGTGGCCACCTTGTTGAAACTACCAATCATTTGTAGGAAGGAAATAAAATATTTTTTAATCTTATTTTGAAAACAGTTTGTTGTCATTTGAGTAACAGTGCATTTAAACAATATTTTGTTACTTGATCAAATATGAGTGTCTATTGTTTCAGGAATGCCCTTTAGGTACCTACAAAAATGTCACTGGATCTGATTTTTCTTTTTGTCGTCCTTGCCCACCTGAAGAGCTTCCTCGTCGTGCTGTGTATACAAGTGTTCGAGGTACAAGTGGCTTCCTTTTCGAATTGTTGAGCAAGTGAATTAGGACAGGCATGATGATGCTTTTGTTTTATTCATTAGGATATAGGTAATTTGAATTAAAAATTGATCCCATCCTTGTCAAGAACAAATTTGCATACAAATCAATCTAAATAAGAAAATCTAGTTTTATTTGACGCACTGAGAATGATGTATGCGATTTTTGGCATTTTTAATCCCATGCCAATGCACTTGTATAGGAAATATTTGGAACAAGTAAATGTTATTAAACCTTTTTCTTGTCTCTTAACAGGAGGTGTGGCGGAAACTCCTTGTCCTTATAAATGTATCTCTGACCGTTACCACATGCCACACTGCTACACAGCTCTGGAAGAATTAATTTATACTTTTGGTGGGCCGTGGTTGTTTGGCCTCCTCCTTTTTGGCCTTCTTGTTTTACTAGCCTTGGTTTTGAGCGTTGCGAGAATGAAATTTGTTGGTACTGATGAATTACCTGGCCCTGCTCCAACTCAGCATGGCTCTCAAATTGATCATTCCTTTCCATTTCTGGAATCGCTAAATGAGGTAAGTTGTTCCCATTAGCGTAACTTAATCTTGAAACTATTTTTTCTTCTGCTGACTTTGAAACTTTTCTGAACATGATTCAGGTTCTGGAAACTAACAGGGCTGAAGAGTCTCAGAGTCACGTGCATAGAATGTATTTTATGGGTCCAAATACTTTCAGTGAACCTTGGCATCTTCCTCATTCTCCTCCAGAACAGATAATAGAAATTGTGTAAGTGGCTAATTTAGAGTCAATTTCTTGTGTAAGTGGCTTATTTGAATTCATAGGTTTTAATACCTACATGGTTGAGCCGTGGTACTTATATTCCTGAATTTTGCACTGCATTTGCATGCAGGTATGAGGATGCATTCAATAGATTTGTTGATGAGATCAATGCCCTTGCTTCTTACCAGTGGTGGGAGGGATCAATTTATAGCATTCTTTGCATCGTTGCTTATCCTCTGGCATGGTCATGGCAGCAGTGGAGAAGAAGAAAGAAGTTGCAAAGGTTGCGTGAATTTGTTCGTTCCGAGTATGATCATGCGTGCTTACGTTCTTGTCGTTCACGTGCTCTTTACGAAGGTCTTAAGGTACGCTGTAATGAGCACTTCTATGGTTAGATCATCATTTAATTGGTATACTTATGTATTCCTATGCTTCCACTTTGAATTTCTGAGTTTTGAGTTAGTCGATTGATTCTAGATACTTACTATTATTGGATTTCTTTTCTTAGTCGTTGTCATTTTTTTTCTATTTTTCTGTTGAGCTATTTTGTCATTGAGGCCTCGTTTGGTTCCCCCCGACCTTTTTTTCGTTCTTAAACGGAGGTATTACAACGGAAAAGCAGAAATTTTTTTCTTCCTGAATCGGCAAAAATACGGAGGTGTAGCAAAAGGTGTTTTGAAAAAGCTGCGTAAACAAACAGTGAAATAATATTTTTTTCACCGATTGAAATATGAAACGGAGAACTTGCGGCCAACCAAACAAGGCCTTAAACACTCATTTATATATTGTGTTTTGCAACAGTTTATTAGCTATGCCACATTCTTGTATTTTTTTCCTTGCAGGTGGCTGCTACACCAGATTTAATGCTTGCATATATAGATTTTTTCCTAGGCGGAGATGAGAAGAGGCCTGATCTTCCTCCTCGGCTTCACCAAAGATTTCCTATCTGCTTAATCTTTGGTGGTGATGGAAGTTACATGGCTCCCTTTTCCCTTCATAGTGATAATGTTCTGACCAGTCTTATGAGTCAGGTATACTAGCCCACATTCATTAGAAATATTTTCATAAATTGTTATTACTCCCTTATAAATGTATTTCATGATCTAATCTGCATGTTTCTACTGGCAGGCTGTACCACCAACCATATGGTATCGACTGGTTGCTGGGTTGAATGTTCAACTGAGATTAGTCCGGCGTGGTCACCTTCGGGCATTATTGTTGCCTGTTCTCTCTTGGCTGGAGGCTAATGCAAATCCTAATCTTAGCACTCATGGCGTCTTGGTTGATCTTGCATGGTTTCAGTCTACTTCATCTGGTTATTACCAGCTTGGTCTTGTGGTTTATGCAGTAGAAGGTGAAATCGAAACCAATGTTGCTGATACACTTACCAGATCTACTAAAGTAGAATCACCACGGTATGCTGCAGCATATACCTTTCTCTCATGTTGCGTCTGTTCTAAAGGCATCTCCAATCGAAAATCTCATTTTTCACTCTAAAATGTAGTTTAACAAAAAATGGTGTGATTCATCTCCAATCGAACTCCATTTTGCGCCCAGGTAACCGTCTTTCTCCTTCGCTCGTTTCTTCGACAAATCCGGTAGAGACAGAAAAATAACGAAGGTGAGTAGTGCAACGCCAATATTGGCGTCGCACTGTTCACCCGCAACCAAATACCGGAAATTTTGCCGTTCGGCTGGAGCTCACGAACGACGCCATACATGCGTTTGGAGTTCGATTGGAGAAGGTCTAAGGGTCTCATAATTTTAAACTTACCTGGAACATGATAAATTCCGTAATTCTTTCTTTGTACTTTACAGCATACAGAGGGGTAACCAAGCCGAAGCAGTTCTTTTAAATAGGGAAGCAATTCTGAGGCGTAAAAGAGTAAACGGTTCTATAATAGATCGTCACAATGTCCATACGCTTGATGATAAGAAAGATATTTTCTATCCATTATCTTTTGTGGTGCATAACACCAAACCTGTTGGTCATCAGGTGCTGTGCTTGTTCTGTCATTGTTTCCTAATTACGATTGCCCTACTTACATATTTAGTAGAAGTAATACTAATATTCTGTTTCAGAATGTTTAATTTGATTGTGATCAATCCATTCTTTGCTTTCACCGCAGGATCTTGTTGGTTTGGTTATTTCAATCCTTCTCCTGGGAGATTTTAGCCTAGTACTCCTTACGTTGCTCCAATTGTATTCCTTCTCACTGCTGGATATTTTCTTAGTGTTGTTCGTTCTTCCCCTGGGTATACTTGCGCCTTTTCCTGCTGGTATAAATGCTCTATTTAGTCATGGACCTAGAAGATCCGCAGGGCTTGCTCGTGTGTATGCTCTATGGAATATCACCTCTTTGATTAATGTGGTAAGTTCTATTTCATAACCTTCACACACAAATATGATTCAAGCTATGTTGCACCGATACACCTATTTATGAAAGCGTGTTGTATCCGATACGACACTGATACATGTCTGATACACCAAAGCCGTATCCAATTAAAATACTATTTAATTTCAAAGGGCACGCGTATCGGATACGCGTGTCCATTGAAAAACAAAAAAAAAATCTGAAAAAAAAAAGAAGCATCTTATTTACTTCCGCTGCTGCGAGCGGGGTCGTCTTATTTCCGAGATGGATTTTGATATTATAAGCTACAAGGCTACAAATAATATATTTGTAATTTCAAATATTAGGATTTGATTGCTTTCTTAATTTTTATGTATGATTTATAAATTATAATGTCGTGTTCGCGCCGTATCCGTATCGCGTCGTATCCGGATCCCGTATCCGTATCTATGCATCATGTTGATGGTTTATGTTTTTCTTTTCTTCATATGCCCCCGTTCTTTCCTCTTTTATTTTTGAAATGCATGATTGTTGGATTGTTTTCTTGATTTTCTCATACTTTTAAGTCTGATATTATTATTATTTATTTCAGATTTGTGCCTTCATTTGTGGCTTTGTGCATTACAAGTCATCAACCCGCAGACATCAGAATTTGCCGGCCTGGAACTTGGGCGCGTGAGTATAATCTTTATATTTTGTTGCTATAAGAGCGGCGAAGGCTTCGTTTGGGATGGCTTTCTACTTCTTAAAATTTTTGTACCAGAAAGCGGCTTTAAGCAGCAGCAAGAAAGCCGTCCCAAACGAAAGCCTAAATAGGCTTCTCATCTGATAGTCTAACTTGTTCCAATCGATGGCAGAGACGAGAGTGGATGGTGGTTATTCCCGACGGGGCTTCTACTGTGCAAGTTCATCCAGGCGAGGCTCATAGACTGGCATGTGGCTAACTTAGAAATACAGGATCGTTCGCTGTATAGTAATGACCCCAATGTGTTCTGGCAGTCATGACATGATAAAGGTTTAAGTGATAGGTAGAAGAATCTCAGTTAGATGCAGCAAAAACCTATTCTTCTTTCTTTTATTTTCTGGTTTTTCTTTCTTTCATCTTCTTACGAATATTTTTGAAAGAGAAATAGAGAAAGATAACCGAGAGGGAAGGGGGGGAGGGCCTTCTTTTTATTGCATTAAGGCCTTTCTCATGCATTACACTGTTAGACTGGCTTAGTGTTCATCGATGTCAGTCGCAGTTTTAAAAGATGTAAATATAACGAGAAGAAACATTCTTTTGTAGAAACGAAAACTTACAAATGTAATATATATGATCACGCAGAAGCGGGATTTGATCCATATCAGTTGTTGGTGTTGCTTTATTATCTTTGTTATGGGGAAATTTGCATCATGGTTTTTGGAGGATTCAGGTTTTTGTGCCTTCATTTGCAGCTGTTTGGTTGGCTAAAAAAGTAATGCTGTATAAAAAGAATATTTTGGAGTTGTTTGGATCATTTGATTAGCTTCACTTGAATGATTTTTATTTGGTTTGAAGTAAAATGAATGTAATGTAAAGTTTAAAACTAGCAGTTGGTGGAGGCTTGCGGCGGCAGTGGTCAGCAATCAGCGGTGGTGGCGGCGGCTGGGGACGTTGACGGGTGTGCTGGCTGACGGTGGTTACCTGAGGTGGGTAGAGATGGTTGGTTGTAGTCAAGCGAGCTTGCTTGCGGTGTAAATCATTTTTGCTCAAAATTGAGCAATTTGTTTTATCTCAAAAATGAAGCAAAATGATTTGCACTATATTTATTTTACTTTGAATTTCTTTCTCATAAAACTAAGCATCAAAATTATTGAAACTCTTATATTTGGACTATGTAATACTCTAAAGTATTCCAATTAAACAGCCCCTTAAAATTCTGTAATTGATTTGGCATTTTTTTTTCTTAAACATTTTAGAAGGATCTCTGATCATTTAACTTTTAAAAAATGCATAAATTAAACTTATCATTTGAATGAATATATGTTAGATTTAATACATTTATTCTCTTAATAGAGTAATTGGAAGGCTGATGTTTAATGTTGACATTATTTAAGATGACTCTCTGATCTTATTTGCCACTAGAGTTATTTCAATCTTTTGGATTCTTAGTAGGAAAAATTATTGCGTGTGGTGTTCAGAAGCATACTAAGATCTATTAAGATGCGTCTCATCATCTAATATACAATGTATTAGATGACGTGATGCATCTGAATTGGCCTATGCATGCGTCTGGATACCATACAGAATCTCTCCTTAGTAGGGGCCTGTTATAATGGAGGTGAAAGTTATGAGATTGGTTCAGATTGCTATCCTTGTAAGGTAAATTCTTGTTTATTATCATCTTTTGGGAAATGTTGAGAGTTTTGGTTATATTTGGATTCAATACTAATTTCAATCATGTTTTAAATGTTTGATTTAAGCTCATTTAAATTCGGATCAAAATAATTTTGGTGTTGTTGTAATCGTCTTATCATGACGGTTGGTTTGATCATAAATTTATTGAAATCAAAGTTCAAATGATCTGGAATTTATTTTTATAAACTTTTAATTCAAATATTACGTCAATATCCATATTTAATTAAGTAAATTTTCTCATATCTTGGCATAAGTAATTAATTTATATTTGATGTAACATATTTATATATTTTAACTATGTGGTGTCTATCCTATTTCATACACTGTGTCAATTAAAAATATTCAAATTGATTTAATTGAATGTAGATGCCGAATCCAAATTAAATTCAAATCACTTAAACAATTGAAATAAATTAAAAAAAAAAAACTTTTTTTCTCATATTTATCATACTTTCCTTATTTTTTTGTTTCGCTTAATAACTGATTTAATGATCATGAAAGTTTTCATTTTCATCTACTTCTTAGAAAAGACTTTTCTTTATTAGATTTAATTGAGAATTTAATTCATAATAGGACACAGTGGAGAAAAATGATTCATATAGCTGATCTCACGTAGTGGGATAAAGATTTGATGTTCTTGTTGTTATTATTGTTGCATCTACTTCTTACATGATAGAACATAGTCAATCATATTAATTTTCATTAAAGAAATTATTTAATAAAAATTGAATAGACCAATCAATATACTCCCATTCAAATTCAACTTAAAAAAAAAAACTTTGATATTCATAGCATAGGCTTCGTTTTGGACGTTTTTTTTTATTATTTTCTTAAGTAGCTTCTCAGTAGAAAAGTTTTTTGAACTAGAATTTTTTGTACCGAAAAACTGCTTTAAAAAGCATTAACTTTAAATAATGCTATAAATTATTTTTTTTTTTCAAAAATAACTTTTTAAAAGCAAGATTTTGAAATTGTGATAAAAAAATAATACTTATGACATTATTTTTTACTAACTATTTCTATTTCTAAACAAAACCTTGGTCTGTCTTCTCTTTCACACTTCATTTGATCGCATCATCCACTCTCTCCAACAACTCTTTTTTTGGGAGAAAAATTAGAAGCAAACATGCCCAATTTTATTCAAAAATGAAAGGTTACAAGAATAATACAATAGTTTTGTTAGAAAAACAAAGAAAAAACTTACAAAACTAGAAGAATTAAAATAAAAAGCTAATATAAAGGCTAAACAACCTAAAAAATTCGTTAGAAAAGGAGAAAAATAAACAAGAAGAACAAACAAGGCTTAGAATAACTAGTTCTCAATAAGCAAAGGCCAATTAGAACTAGTAAAAGAAAGTACAATGAGAAAGTTCCTCCAGCACAAACAACCCAACCAGAAGAAAGACAACTCTCAAATCCAACATCGGAATAATGATCTTGAAAGAAACATCCAATCAAGCCACCAAACAGCTACAAAAGATCACCAGCCCAAGCTGCCCAACTAGCAGAAAAACAATAACCAAAGCCAAAAGCAGAACAAAGTGCCTAGATCCGCTACCAATCGAGCCTCAAAAGACCTGCACCTCAAAACAACTTATCAAACATCAAATCATAACAACCACCCAACAACAAAAAAACAACAAAGGAAAAAACCAATCAAATCGCAAAATAAAGAATCAATCAAGCAACACCCACCAGCTAGACTTAGAGAAGGGAAACCTTCAACCCAATCCGATCATAAAAAATCAACCTTGGTTGTTAGACTTGGCCATCCAAAGCATAAAACTGGTTTTCAAGCCAACCATCCAGTAGAAGGATAAAGAAGTATCCAATCATCATCATCCAAAATAGAAAAAGAAAATAAAAAAACAATCCATAACTAAAAATACCAACCAAGCAAGCAAAACGACAAGAAAACTAACAATTCAGTCAAGCAACATAAAGCAACAAAACCAAAAGGATTGCAGGAAACACCAACCCAAATTGCCCAACCAGCAGAAAAATAATGCCCCAAGCTAAACCCATAATAAATATCCTAAAAAAGCCACCAACTGAGCCTTAAAAACCCACAAAACACCACCTAACAAAAAACATAACAAAAACAAAGAAACAAACCAACAACCCCGACTAATAAGCACAGGAAAGGAAAACCACTAGCCCAATTCGAACAACCCACAACAATAAAAACAACAACAAAAAGCAGGGAACAATAATTAAAACAACCAAGATAGCTAGACCCAACCATCCAAGGTAAAAACCTGGTTGCTAGGCCAACCATCCATAAAGAAAGAAAGTAAAAGGAAACCAACCAACACTAACCAAGATGAAAAAAGTAAACCCAAAACAACTAGAAGCAGCCAAAGAACAAAAAATATTAACCATCCAAGCAAGAAGCCAGGAAGCCAAAAAATATAGCCAATCAACATAAAGCAATAAAATTAGAAAGACCCCCACAACTTAAAAGACTAAATGCTTAATTTTTTTAAAAAAGAAATTCAATTAACAATCTTAGCCCTAATAGCAAACCTAATACTCTTGCAAATAGAGATAGAACAACAAATTTTATTATCAAATTTTCTACAATTTCTTTCTTTCCAAATGAAATATATAAAACGACAAGAAGAAAGTAAAAACATGTATTTAGCATCCGAAAACTAGTCCAAGGCCCAAATAAATTCAAGGATTTGAACTAAATTAGATCTAAGCATAAAATAACTCAACCTAGGCAAAAATTTAGAAATAATCATGAAAGAAAATCACATTCAAAGAACAGATGATTATGACTTTCTTCTACTTTAGAACAAATGATACAAGTTATATGAACAATCAAATTCTTTTTAGCCAACAAATCAATAGTTTTTAGCCCTTTTAAAATAGACATCCAAGCAAAACTAGAGAATCTCATAGCATACCTTTTATAGCAAATATAAGAGTACCATTCCCTCTGATAAGATTATTATAAAAGCATTATAAAATTTTTTGAAAGGAGAATACTTCACACCATCCCAAGAAATATTAGAGATTTCCTGATTCTTAATAGAAATTGTAGAAGTAGCCAAGACAATATTATTAGAAATATGATGTGAAATCATCCATTTATCATTAGTAATCCAATCATCGACAATACTCAAATTGATCAAATTGTCAGGAATATTAGTAATTAACTCATGAAGAGCTTTTTTTTCTAACCAAGGATCCCAATACAAAGAAAAAGAACAATCAGTGAAAATATTAAAAGAAATTGTACCTTTAATGTCTCTAGAAATGATATAGAGATCCTTCCAAAACTTAAAATCCTTTTGAGAACAAGGTTTTCAATAAGAGATGTATTTGTATTTAACCCAAGAAGCTAAAAGATCAGTACCATTAATTATAAACTAAATAAGAGAACAATTGTATGCAAAATAAAGGATATTATGATCCGGAATACCAAGACCTCTAACCCTTTTACACTTGCATATCTCTTTCCAAGCTATCATATGAATTTTCCTAATCGAAACTTCAACATAAAAGAGGAAATTAGAACAAGCTTTCTTAATAAATTTAAAATAAGTTGTAGGCAATGATAATATCTTAGCTTTCCATTCGGCAAGAAGTGCCATAATTTTACTAAGCAAAGGCTAAAATCCACCAGAGTAAGCTTTTTACAAGAAATAGGCAACCCTAAATATTTCATAGAATTTTGAGAAATACGAATACCCATAATTTGAACAATTTCCTCTGATATAGGATAACCTTTAGAAAATATGTAAAGCTCTTAGCATGATTAACAAATAAACATGAAGCCTTAAAAAAATAATCCAAAATATCCTTTAACTTTTCAGCATTAAAAAGAGTAGCTTTACCAAAAACATGAACATTATTTGCATACAATAAATGAGAAATTGAACTCTCACTAGAATTAACCCCCTCAAACTTTACAAATTGAGACCTATCTTCTAAAAGATTAGAAAAAGCATCCATAATAATGTAGAAAAGATAAGTAGAAGGAGGACAACCTTAATGAAGATCAGAAGAAGAACTAAAGAAACTATTAAGAGAACCATTAAGTACAATAGAGAAGAAAATATCATCAATACATCCTTTAATCTAAGAAATAAAAATATGAGGAAAACATTTCTGAGTCAATCTATTAAAAGTAAATTATCTCGAGATAGTATCGAAAGTTTTATGAATATCCAATTTTGAGCAAATGAATTTTTCTTTACCCGAGCAGTTAAATTCTTTTAATAATTTAGAAGCAAGAATAATATTATTCATAGAAGTTCTCTTTTTAATAAACCCGAATTGACTAGTATGAATAATATAAGACATAGCACTCTGCATCCTGTTAGCCAAAAGTTTTGCCACAATTTTATAAAAGACATTACATAAAGAAATAGGCCTAAAATAAAAAATTTACAAGGCATTAACATGCTTAGGAATATGAGTAATAGTAGTGGTTTTAGCTGCCCTAGACATATAAACATACTTAAAGAAATGCAAAACTGCTTTACAAAAATAATATCTCACAATATCCCATGAATTCTTAAAAAACTCAAAGGTAAAACTATCAGGATGCAGATTAGAAGGACTAAATAACATCACATTTTTTATCTCCTCAAAAGTAACCAAAGTAGTGAGAGATGTCATAAGAACATTAGGTATACTCTTACCAACTGGAATGACAAATGAAGAATTTGGAGAGTTAAAGAAGTTCTAAAAATGGTTCACTAAAGCCTCAAAAACTCCTCTAGAATCAGCAATAGTGACATTTGGAGTATAAATAACATGCATCTTATTCTTGTTTTACCTATAATGAATTTTAGAATAAAGAAAATCTAAGTCAACTTCGCCACAAGAAAGCCATTTAGATCTCTTTGAATAATTAAAGAAGACCATAAAGACAAATTAAAACTAAGCAGCCTATTAACATCTTTAAGAGCTAAATTAAGATCATGATCCAAAGGATTATCTTGAATCTTCTTACGTAAATCTTCCTGATGCTTTTGAAGAGATTCAATATTTTTAGAAACAAACTTTGAAGAAGCCCAAGACTAATTCTTGGTCAAACATTTGAGATTATGCAATTTACCATAAAAATCATTAATAGGATTTCCAATATGAGCCTTAGTAAAAACATCAATAAGTAAATCCCAAAATTTTGGTTTTTTACACCAAAAATTCTTAAAAAGAAATCTATTCCTAAAAGAAGTCAAACTTCTATTGCAAATAATAAAAGGAGTTTGATCATAACACAAAGGATTATCTACATGATAATAAGAATAAAGGAAAACATCCAGCCAATCACAATTAACCAAAACCCTATCCAATTTAATATGAATAGGATAATCCACTTGTTGATTATACCAAGTAAAAAAATGACCAACAGAAGAAAGGTTATAAAGACCAACATTAAAAATAAAATTATTGAAATCCCTTAATTTGGCACAAGGGAGAAAGTTACCCCCCAATTTCTCATTAACAAATCTACAAAAATTAAAATCCTCTAATAAAATCCAAGGAGAAGAGATATTACTTGCTAAATTAAGAATGTCATGCCAAAGACAAATTCTTTCAACAGTCAAATTTGAAGCAAAAATAACCGTAATAAAAAACAGAAGAAGAAGAAGAAGAACCAAATTTAATAATGTCATCATGAATTGATTAGCAGTGATAATGCTATTAAAGGAAATACATGAAGTATCCATTTCAACCAAATACTCCTTGGATTAGAGAAACTAAAATTATTATAATTTGCTTCTTGTTGAAAAATTCTATGCTTAGCATCAAATCAAGAATCTTTAACCTGATCCAATTTAATCTTTAGTTTCAAGAAATCAACTTCAAATTTTCTAACAATATTTTTGCAAGCATTAACTCTAACCAGATTTTGAAAACTACTAATTTATCTAAGGAGAATTTAGATAAGACAAAATTCCTTTACTGCAAGAAGAATGAAAATCTAGTTTATCTGATAAAATATTTTCTGGAAAAGAAATAGAATCTTTCAAATTAACATGCTCAGAAGACAAAATGTCTTGTCGAGAATCCATAACACCAGAAGGTTGAGAATATTGAAAATTAGGTTTTGGATGTGGAACAGGATTAGAGATACCCTGAGATCAGGTATTATTCTGGGATTGAGCTTTAGGAGGTTGAGAAGACTTAGAAAGATGAGAAGACACCATCCAAACCTTCCTAGTCCTGCTTCTCCCACTATTAGAATCAAGAATATCATTTTCTTTGGGTCTTGAGGTTTAGTTGGACATAAGGAGAAGGGATGGACAATAGAACCACACTCAGAACTTGGAGTTGGCTTCCAATCATACACAATTTTTAAAGAAAAAATATTTCTTGCCATCGAAATTTTAACTTTCTCTAGAAGAGGAGAGTCCTCATTAATTAAAATACAAACTCTAGCAAAGATAAGCCTAGCTTGATCAGCCGTTAAAGTATCAACAACTATTAGAATCCCTACAAAATTGTAATCTTTGAAATAACTTGTGAAGTCCAACAAACCAAAGGTTAATCAAGGATCTTAATCCAAAGAGGAATAGAAGCAAATTCTTCTCATTTAGGGCAGTATAGTGGAGACCAAAGCTGTATTATAAAAAGTCTTTCAAAAAAGAACCAAAGCCTTTCAGACCAAACTAAATCGTAATCCTCATAACAAGAAAAAATCTTCACTTAAAGCAAGAAGTGTAAGATTACCTTTAGCTTCCAAGATTTAAGCATTACAAAACGTAAAGCTTCAAAATAAGCTCACTTACCTAAGGAATACCTACCATCATTAAACCCCATTTTCCCCAAGTAGCCGAAACATCCTCTTTAGAAAAATGAGCAAGATTATCCAAAGATGGAACAAAAGAAATAGAAAAAACTTTGGGGGAAGATTGACGAGAGGTCAATAACCCAATTCCAAACTTTCATGACACTCGGAGATTTCCCGGATGAGGAATCCAGAACCTTTGCTAAAGTTAACGAAGGAAAATCTTTCAAAAGATTCATAAAGAAACAAGAGAAGAAGATGAGAAATAGATCACAGGAGAGAGAAGAAGATAATCATATCGCTAGAGGAAAAAATCCACTAGGGATTTCAAGAAACCCTAAATGCTCTCTCACACATCTCGAGCTCCCTATGCGGCCCAGAAAGGAATTTGATATTTGCTCTATCCAATAGCTCTCAAAGAAGGCATCGTCGCATGCATCAGCGCAAGATCTCTTGCTAATGACTGACTGTCACCACCACCACCACCACATAAATCACCTTATAAAATTAAAAATAATAATAATATAAATACATTTAATATAGCAAATATATTTTATTTAATATCTAAATGTAAATACTATTAAAAATAATAAGTTAAAAAAAAAAATCATATATTGTCACCAAAGAGCCCCTAAGTTTTTGTTTCTTCTCAGATTAATAGCTACATCATTGTTGTTGCTTACTTGCTTCCAATGAGGAAGTTAATGTAACACATCTCTCAAAGCAGATCCAACTATACCTTCCTCATCTCATATCAATTGCACAGAAATCACTGCTGCAAAGCATTTTGGTTCATCACACAGAAATCCATTCAATGGAAGAAACAAATAAGTGAAGATAAGACATCCAATTGTCAGGCGATTGATATACCAAATTTGAATCAAAATGCTTCAATGAATTTGATAAAATCAAACAGATCGTGATAGAACAAGTTGAAATTGATAATCCTCTTCCTCTGTAAGTTGAGGCTCGCTTAAAGAACCCATTTTTACAGCCAAAATCTTCAACCACTGCCTTAGTTTCTGCATCCAACAATTTGCATTTGTAAATTCTACTTTTCTACTGAAATCAATGGTGCTTTCTTCTGCCGATCACCACTATCACCAATATCCAAACCAACAATGCCACAATCTATTTGTATGAATTGAAGGTTAAGAATCTGTACTGAAACTTGTGTGTATAGCTGAGAAAATTATGATGTCTTGTTATAATTCATGGTTCTGTAACCAGATTTCACCCACATATGGCCTCCACTGCAACTGACTTCATTACTCCCGAGCACGGATCACCGCCGAAAACTTCTGGAACAACTGCAATAGCACAGGATTGACGACCGATGCACCTCTGCGAAAAGCAACCACTCTGGTTTTAGAAACTTCAATGCCAGAATTCTTCAAGTGGTAGTAGATTAGAAGAGAAGAACTTACCTTCTCAAATATATCATAAGAGTTGTGAGCATGGCAGCTGCCTTCCCAGTAGCCTCCACAGACACCTTGTGGAGTACCGAAGCTCGCAAATTTTATGCTTGTTATATTCTTTTCCTCACAGGACAGATGAACTTTTGGATTTCCATATTCTTTAGTTCTCCAGTTAGTTATCGATGGCTGCCATTCCGACACGTAAGCGCAAACACTCCCTACAGTTCTAGCCACCAGCGAAATTCCCGTCGGATCCCCGCCCCACTCTTCAAACACGACCAGTAGGTTCCCAGTTGGGTTTAGCCAAGCGCGAGGAAGATGATACCTGAGATGCAAAATTATTACATAAATTATACCACAAACAGGTAAGATGTGATTATGAAGAAAAGAGCATTTCTTTTCTAATTAGGCTTCGTTTGAGACAGCTTTCTTTATGCTTTTTAAAGTTGCTTCCTAGTATAAAAATTATAATTTTTGTACTAGAAAGTTGCTTTAAGAAACAATAAAAAAGCCATCCCAACAAAGCCTTAATCTCTTCAAACCAAACAAAGACTACGGTTCATGTTCGAAGTTTGCAAATATCATGTACCATCTTTGCGAGGGTTCGCCGCAGTTACTTTGGCACTTCCTCTCATTGTATTCGCCACGGTAATCGCATGGACTGCAATCACCAGTTGCAGTATATCCAGGCCAATATCTGCCAATGCTTTGCCCATTTATCCAAATCTGCCCTTTTCCCATGCTACTCATGTCTAATGCCAATGGTTCGTTCCCACTTGGCGCATCAAAGAAGGCCTATGGGAAGGAGAAAGAGAATTAGCTCACAATTGCAACAAATTTAAAAAATTGTGGAGCCTAACTTTTGTCCTGCAAAGAAAATACGATACAAAGGCTTAGCCATAGTAATTTTAATGGGTTTCTGCTACACTAACTTTTCTTTATAAAGAAAGGGGAACCATATGATGTTTTATTTGGAGAAATTAAAGCTATAAGAAACTTCACAATAAAACCACAATGAAATATGCAGCAGCAACAGGACATAAAACCCAGGTGTGTTTTGCATTAAATTTTTTCTTGTTTTATATTATTTTAGCTCTCAATGATTAAATTAGGTCTCTCCTCACATGATTTACATAGCATTCAGAGCTCCAAGAAAATCTCCAACAAATAACACATGGCATACACATGCCATGTACCAACTATCCAATGATCCTGAAGACTTAGGCTTCGTTTGGGACGGCTTTTTTATCGCTTCTTAAAGCAGCTTTTTAGTACAAAAATTAAAAAAATTTTACTAAAAAGTTGTTTTAAGCAGCAGTAAGAAATTCATCCCAAACGGAGCCTTATTTAGAACACTAAGTTGAGCTGCGAAGTAACTCACTTCTTTGGTTTCAAAACGTTTAACTTGCATTTCTATTTACAAGATAGGAATGACAAACCTTGTACCACGTTAGTGGCTGCTTCGGATCTGCTTCTCCCCACTCAGAGCTTTCAGAGAGCGCATGAAGATTCAGAGTCTCACCTTTCAAACCAATCTATAAACATAATCGCAATTTTACTCAGCCCATAATGAATAGTGGAAGATAAAATGAGCTTCAGATGACAAACCTGGTAAGTCCACTTCTGCCATGTTAGATCTCTCCATCCATCGTCAAGACCACTTAATACTACAGGCCCAAGAACCCCAGCATTCCATGTCTCAAAATGCTCGCCAACATTCTGAACAGAATTCCCATAAGTTCAGGCAAAAAACATTAACAACAGATGATATAAAAGAAGGAAAGGTCAGAAGAAATATTACAGGAAGCCCAACTGATGCACTTAAGATTGAAATAGTGTTACTTCCGGCACGCAACATCACATTTCCAGAATATGTAAATCTGGGATCCTCAACACCACCATATGACATACCTGCAAGGGAGGTGAGTAGCTGAACATCAAAAAATAGAACAAATAACCTAAACAAAAATTCATTTTAGTAATAATAGATCTAGTTGGGGGATTGTGACTTTTGGCGATCAAGTAATTAATAAAAGCACATGTTTTAGATATCTTGGGTCTATTGTTCAGAGTGATGGAGAAATAGATGGGGAAATTATTAGTAGAATTCGAGTTGGATGGTTGAAGTGGAGGAATACATCGGGCTTATTATGTGATAGAAAAGTCCCTCTCAAACTTAAGGGAAAATTCTACAATATGGTAGTAAGAAATGCAATGTTTTATGGTGCAGAATGTTGGCCATTAAAAGAGAAGCATGATATTAAATTAAGTGTTGCATAGATGAGAATGCTCAAGTGGATGAGCGGCTTTACTCTTAAAGACAGGATACGAAATGAGCATATACTTGAAAAGGTTGGAGTAGCTCTTGTGAAAGATAAGAGTAGAGAGAGTCGCCTTAGTTGGTTTGGTCACATAAAACGACAGCCTTCCGATGACCCGGTTAGGAAAGTAGATGCATTAGATTTGACTTATATTACAAAAGGTAGAGGTAGACCTAAAAAGACTTGGTTAGAAAATATTAGAAATAACTTTTCTTTATTAGATTTAGATGAGAATTTGACCCTTAACAGGACACAATGGAGAAAAAGGATTCAGGTAGCCGACCCCACATAGTGGGATATCAGCTTGTTGTTGTTGTTGTTGTTGTTGTTGTTGTATTTGGTTGTGTGCCAATTTCTATTAAATGTTTTATCATGATTTTTTAATCTCTCTTCTTTATCCAGATTCATCTACAATTTCATTTATATGCATAACAATCTTATCATTTATTGATTCTCTTTGTCAACTCTTTCCAAAATTTGTGCAATTCAAATAAATGCCATTATTACTCCCTAACAAGCATGATACAATCATAAAAATTACGAGTCATCCAAATAGTGGTTGAATGGATGAGGATCTGGGGTGACTCTTGACCTCCAAGATTTAAGAAAAGCTCTATATAACTATATATAGCTTGGAAGCTTAATCCCTACAACTATTAAAACTATAAAGTTGCCCCCTCTCTAAATAAGGTGTAAATAATTTCACCCCCTATCGTTTGAAATCTTAATTGTCACTGAATTCAATCATGATAAAATTATATTCATCTTAGTATTTCTAACTAGAAATTACTTATATATAAATTTTGATAGTTCAAACATTTATCTGGATAAAATGTACCCCATCTATTGCATAAGAAGAAGCTCCTAACCTGATAGCTGCCCATTGATAAAAACATTCAGAGAGTGACCAGCAGACATCACAGTGAGAACAGGATAATATCCACCCTTCAAAAAGCCTTCGCTTTCATTTATGTCAACACTGAAATAAGAGGATGAAAAGGGAAAAAGGATTTCTTATCCTAAAAAACTCAGTAGTTTGGGCTACATGTGCAAATAAACATTATAATATATACTCACTATGTTGTATACCAAAGATAATCAGTTATATCTCTAGTCACATTTATTTGCTCCAATAACCCTGTAGTAGTGAACGATAAGTCACCATTGAAGGTGGTATAGTCATTGTATGATTCCCAAGAGAAGCCTCCTATCCAATTCATTTGCATCAGTGAGGTCTGAGCTCCCACCTGCTAACATGTAATAGACAACAAAGTGAAATGTAAAGAAGTTAGAAGCTATGTAACAGCATGAAATAGCTGTGTGAAGTACAAAATGAAAACAAAAGATGTCCATACGGATGTTAACCATTAAACTAGGGTCATTTGAGGATCTATAAATTTGATCAGGACAACTAATTAGCATAATCAATTTTCCTAATTAAGTTTACTGTTTAGGTTTTTATTTATTTTTTAAATAATTTGATTGACTTTAAAAATAAGGGAGTGGGCGGAATGATGCTTTCAATGGACTTATTTAGTACGTTGTGAATATTCACTTTAATAATCTGATATGCATTTAATTAAGCCTAGTTTGATTTGTGGTGGATTATTCATAACCCACCAAATTCAAATCTTATATCTTCTTATACATTCATTTGAATCAATGAAAAACATATAATATTACTTCAAAATCTGATATGATATCAAAGAGAAATAAGATCCTTCATAAACCTATCATCTCGGGCTTCCTCGTGTCCTTACTATCTCTTCTCCTACTTCAATAGTTGTTGCCGCACGTCAATAGGCTATTTCGAACTCATAGATCTAGCATCTGCCAGAAAATGGACCTCTTCCTACCATAGCACCTTCTCCCTACTCGACATCTTCCGTCAACACTCTCCCCCCTTGACAACTCCCCTCCTCCCTATCTCCTCTTGATGGGGACATTGACTAGAGATTTCGACGCGTTTATCAGAGACGACACAGGAGATCAATGGCCATGATGGAGAGTCTTTACTTTTGATGCTTATTTGCATTAGCATTTTATGTATGACGCATTTCTATTTCAGTTTTCCGTTTTTGCCCTTATGGATAGTTGGTCGCTATTGTAGCCCCAGGGGCATTTTAGTCTTTTGTATTAGTTGTCATTTGGAAGCCTATATATATGGCTCTATTTTATCTTGTATGAGGATAATTGATAAATGAAATTTTTCTCTTTACGTTCTCTTTGTGAGTTCATGTCCCCTTGATCTCTCGGTGAATTCATTTCTCCTAGATCTCTTTGTGAGTTCTATTGGAAGAATCGTGAGGCTTGCGATCCCTATTCTCTTACCTCCACCATACAAGACAACAACCCAAACTCAAGTGCTAGAGAAACCCGAGCCCACCCTGTTGCCGCCGCCCCTTGGAGCCCCAATCCGCCGGCTGCCCTATCACCACCGGTCGGCCACCTTGTCGTCGGCCTTTCCCCCATCCACCCGCCACCTCTCTCTCCCCTAGCATTCTTTGAAATTTAAATTTCAAAATTCAAATTCTTTCCAAATTAGGAAGTCCAATTTAGGAAAGTTTCTATGATTGAATTCAATTTCAAATTAAATTAAATTGGAGTCAATAATTTTTATTTCCTAGTCATCACCACTATTTGGAAACCTCCTCCCCTCCTTCCCCAAGCTCCTCCTCCCACTTAAAGCCGCCGGCCCCTTCTTGGGGATTTTCATTGAATGCATTCAATGCCCTTCCCCTCATTTGAAATTTGGAATTGATTTCAATAAAACCTTCCCTCCAATTTCACTTAAAACTGAAATTAATTTCAGTTTTCTCCACAAAACCTTCTCCCCTCTTCTCCCAAAGCCATCGGCCCCTTACATGGGCAAAAATCCTCTCTTGCCAAATTAACCCCCACCCTCAATTAATTTCGAAATTGAAATTCAAACATTTCCCCCCAAAACCACTTAAATCTGAAATTAACTTCAGATTTATTGAGAATCCCTAAGTTTTTCCCTAACTCTAGCCGCCCCTCTCAATCCAATTCTCCAAGCCGACCGCCCCTCTCCCCTCTTGGGTTTTCTTGTTGTGCTCTCTCATCTGCAAGCCAATGTTGCATGGCGGATCCCGAAGTTGATCACGGGCTCGTATACGACATCTACGGAGATATCCACATCCTTCGATCTCCTTTCTTCGACGTTGGGTTTGGCTTTGACGACACCATCGAAGATTATTTGAATCGAATCCTCCCCACCTTTGTGGACATCATCGACGAGCAATTTTCGGACTACGAGTGGATCATCGACGGTCAACCTCCCATACCACCTCCACCTCCGACTACCCTCCCAACAATGACGTTCTTCGGCTCTTCCATCCTCGTGGCTACCTCATTTCTAGCGTGAACAATCTTCCTCCGCTCAACCTAGATTCGTAGGGAAGAAAGAGAGTAGGTCCTCAAGGTGAACAACTCTTAATTAACTATTGGATTCATGTTGTAAGCTTTTAACATTACTTCACCTTTGTATTTGATTAAATTGTCTTGGTTAATCTTCATACAACTCTTTGCCTAAGCAAGTGGAATATGGAGAATTCTTGCAACTAATTTGGAATTGATGCATGATTTTATAACGGTTAAACTATAGTAAATTCTCTTTTTATAATCTTGAGTAACTCCAAGTTTGCATCACATCATTTTTGGTATCAGAGCATGGTAGCATGTCTTGCATGTGCTAGAAGTTCCTAGGAGTATAGTTAACCAATTGTGAAACTCGTTTGCATGCGTACCATTGCCTACTTGTTATAAATTTTCTGTTTTACATTGCTATCCAGTAAATTTCTGCACGTTTTCACCATATTAAGCTAGCATATTGTATCATCTAAGTGCTGTCTTTGTCTTTATAACTTCCCCAATAGCTTAGGTCACTTGCCAAACTAGAAAACTTGCTGTCTAAAACAATTCCTGCACCCATTACTAGCTTTAAGGTGACTCTAAACAAGTGTGTATTTGCTGTCCACACCCTACCAAACCCCCACAACACTTAGGCAACTTAGGCCCTTGTCGTAGGTTGCTGTCCACAGCATTTCAGCATCATATAGATGCATTAGGAGCATATTACCTTAGCGTCTAGGTGCTGTCCACCACCCCGACACTTCCCTTAGCAACCTCTAGCATCCACCCATGGATCCGGAACACATTCAAGCGACTCTAGACCTTATTGTGGGACAACTTGGCACGGTTACGCAGCAAATCCGCAACACCCAGACTGACTTAGCCGACTTTAGGCGCCAAACAAGTGACCACTGGACAACATCAAGCGCATAGGAAACCCCGCTATTTACACCCCTTCTAGGCCGCATTCACCTTATGGTGATGACACCAGAACCAATCATGGATTACAACGAGATCACTACCATCATAACCATAGGCCCAATCAGGACACCTTAGGAAATGAGAACCCTTGGAGAGATAATGACTCAATTGCTTAAGAACATTATAATTGATGCCCTACATACGATGAAACCCTAGACCCTCAAGTCTTTTTGGATTGGCTCAAAGCGATGGATGGTTATTTTAGATGGTACAACATTTTGGAAGCTAGGAAAGTCATGTTCGCCGAAATGAAGCTCACTGGACGAGCCAACCTGTACTGGACAAATTTAGAAAATATGCGTGGGCTCGAGGTGAACATCCCATCACCGACTGGCGAACTATGAAGAAAAAGCTTAGGAGAAAATACCTCCCTCCATCCTACTACCCCAAGCTCCTAGATAAATGGAATAGGCTGACCCAGGGGAGCAAGCCCGTTAAAGATTACATCTCCGCCTTCAACGATTTCCTGATTTGTTGCAATGGCGAAGAATCCGCCACCCCAACACAAATCCTATCCATGTTTAGAGCTGGCCTTAGGGAAGAACTCGGAACTACGCTTTTTGCGAGAGGAATAGACACGTTAGAAGCAGCCTGCAGTCTAGTTCTCGACCTCGAGGAGTCTAGAACCCATTCCCACACTAAGCATTTTGACTCCCGCCCAACTCCGTATAGAACTCCACCGGGCAACCCCAAAACCGACCCACGGGCTCTATGGTGAACCGACCAACTGCTAGTTCCGCCCCACCTCGCCTGGACTTTAAAGGCAAAGCCCCCGAACGTGACACATCCAAAGCCACGTCAGGAACCAAGTGTTATAGGTGTCATGTGTATGGGCATATTGCTTCGCAATGTTCTAGCCCCTATAAGGTCACCATAATAGAAGAGGTTGATGACGACGAGGAAGAGCCCGAGACTGACTTAATTCATCATGTTGACGAGGAAGAAGGCTCCTTCACTAAGGATGAACCTGTTGCCTTACAAGTCGTTAGATGTACATTGTCCTAACCTAAACCAAGTGATGACTGGCGTCGGACCTCCATTTTCCATACCTTTACAAAGATAGGGGATAAGAACTGTAAGGTCATTATTGACAGTGGAAGCTGTATCAATGTTGTCTCTTCAGCAATGATATCAAAACTGAACCTTAAAGCCACACCTCACCCAAACCCCTATAAGGTTGCCTGGATTAACTCAACCTCCATGGAGATAAAAGATAGGAGCCTTATCCCACTCGAGTTTATTGGATATCAAGAGAAAATTTGGTGTGACGTGTTGACAATGGATGTGGGCCAAATTATCCTTGGTCGCCCTTGGTTGTTTGACAACGACGTCCATATTTATGGGAGATCAAGCACATGCGTGTTTGAACACAACGGCAAGAAAATCAAATTACTTCCCTCTCAGCCTAAATCCGACAAGGTTGAAGTTAAGGCTACTCCTGCTAAACCTAATAAGGGCTTACACTTCTTAACTAAGAAAGAAGTGGACATGGAGCTTCACCAAGGAACACCCATGTATGCCCTGGTAGCTAGAGAAGTGGATGTTGATCAAGAGGATCACATCCCCGAGGAAGTTAAGCCCCTTCTTGAAACCTTTGCTGATGTCTTCCCCGAGGAGCTACCTAACCAACTCCCACCCCTTAGGGACATCCAACATGTCATCGACTTAGTACCAGGAGCTTCCCTGCCAAACCTCCCTCACTACCGAATGAACCCAACGGAGCATAGTGAACTGAAGAAGCAAGTAGACGAACTCCTACAACGCAGATTTATCAAAGAGAGCCTTAGCCCGTGTGCGGTTCCTGTCCTATTAACTCCTAAAAAGAACGGTTCTTGGAGGATGTGTGTTGATAGTCGCGCTATCAACAAGATTACTATAAAATATTGTTTTAAAA